GAACTACATGTCTAAGCAGCAGGAATAAGGCAAGAGTGTGACCTTGAAACTGAACTCCACTTTTGATCCCAGACCTAAAATCATCCAGATTTCAGGATGAAGGAATTTCTTCAGCAAACTTAGTGCAGTTTTTCCAGAAAACCCTCATGACTAGAAGTCCAAACCTCTACAGTTATGATCACAACCAACGGTGAAGCACCCGTGGTCCCAGCACCAGATTGTCCCCATAGCTTAGCACCCATCTGCAGACAATATGCTGAGCTCTTAACAAAATTGAGGGGTTTTAAAATCTGGTCTCCTGGGCCTGATCCCATGGACCTGGGCTCACCAAAACCAATGGACTTCAAGGAGCTTTGGATCAGGCTTTGCGCTAATTTACTTATCTCATAGAAGAGCTTAATTAACAAATGTTTGCAAAGCACTTTAGGATCCCTGCACGGACAGCAAGATTCCTCTTGCTGCCAGTGCCATTGACAAAGCAAAGAGGTTTAACATCAAGGGGCAGCAGATGAATTGTCCGGACAGTGGCAGCCACAGACAAGGCCGCAGAGACATCCTGGGTAGAGAGGCCACCACGGAGGGCAGAGTCACCTCTGAACCACATGCTTACTACAGGGAATGACCAGCACATGGGGCTGTGGGCTCAGAGCTCCACGGCCCCACAGGGTGGAAGGCAACCTTTCCAGCTTTCCAGCATTTGGGATACTCCTGTTTCGCATGTGGCTGAGCAGTTCTGGAAATGAGCTCTCCAGGGATGGGGAGACGCTGCCTGGGAGTGCTCGTGGTGATAGTACCCCAGCTCCAGCCTTGTAACTCAGAATATTCTATGATTCTATGTGAGTTGAAAATGAAGAAAAGCCTAAAAATGATGTCCTGGTTCCAAGCAGGTGTTTGCTCCCTCTGGCCTCCCCACCATCGGCTCGTCACCTCAGTCTACGGGATGTGGGATGCTCCCCCAGCACCCCACCTTTCCTAGCAGCTGCCACCTTTACCCTGGACTTGGGTTGTGTCAGGGGGCAGAGGGATGCAGCACGGGGAAGTGCCAAATTTGGCTACATATTGATGACACAAATTCATCCGGAACATTTCTCTCTGCGTTGGCTCTTGATGGTGACTGTAAGTTGCTGTTTTGCCTAAGGACAGGCTGCTGGCACCTCCTCAGTCAATGTCAGCTTTATTCCTGCCTCCCACAGGGCTTTCTGTCACCAGCCATGGTGCCTGGCCACCCCTCCCCGACTCTGGCACCGGCAGCAGCTGCAGTTTGCAGTTTCTCCCTTTTCTTTGATCATTCTGCAGCCTTCTGCCTCGGGAAGGGATGAGGAGCACGTGATGCTGCTGCACGATCCCGACCTCTCTGCTCAGAGGACTCTGCCGCCGTCCCTGGCTTTAATTAATACTTTTTTTCTTCCCTGACAGTAATTCAGGGATGTGGATTTTAAATCATTTGGAAATACCAACTTTTTAACTAGAAACACTGCGTTTCTGCCAAAACCTTGGCAGGGACGTTCACAGAGTAGATGTAGCTGCGCGGAGATTACACCCAGAGCAAACTCCTCGCTCACAACCCAGCACTACTTGCACCCAAAAAATAACCTTTTACTCCAATATCTGTGTAGCTGTGAACAATGCAGCCTCCCACAGCCCCACGACACCAGCCCCCATGACCTACTCCAGCTCATCGAGCCGGTTCAAGCCACCTGGCAGCGCTAACTTTAACCTGAATTACTCCTGAAATCCAGCTTCCCCAGAGGCAGCGATGCCAGACGGGAGGTAAGATCATTCCCAAGCAGCTGCTATCACTGGGAAGAGGATCAAAGTCTTGGCTGGAGCCCAGCTACGCCCCCAAAATATTGTATGAACTGAGAGACGTTGCTATCGGGGACCCATCAGGATTAGTCACTGCCCGTGTTGCCAATTCCTGCAATTTTTCTATGAGCATTCCCGGTTGCCTGAAATTCCCAGCTCTGTGAGTCATGTGAATCTGCACGAGTAGGAATTTTCATTTTTTAAAGTAAGTTGCTAGACCTTGTGGCTGTGCAGAAAAGCAAGGTGATGTAACCAGAGTGAAATCTGACAGCCCTGGGAGAAGGTGAATAAAAAGAAATCCCATTTTCACTATTTTTTTGGAGCCACACAAACTTTTTAGTCAGTTTGGTGATTTCTGGGCCTGGCTCATGCTATCGGAATGCTCAGAGCTGGAGCTCGGCAGTTTGGGTTTTTTGGTTTTCCCTTTTTTCCTTTCACTTTTTGATTTCCAGGGGCTCTTTCTTCTCCTGAGAGCTCTGGGACAGAACTTAAAATGGAGATGGGAAGCAAAACTGTGCCCCTGAAATAACAGGCTGCCTCCAGAGCAGGCATTGCTATTGGCCTCATGTGTGAGATCCAACTTGGACAGGTGAAAACTCCCTAATTTACAGGGCAGAACACGATGGATCCCAACAGCACCACAACATGCTGTTGGCACATGTGTTCCTGCACACGGGTGCACATACGATACACATCCACACTGGGAACACCCCTGCACGTAAACGTGTGTGCACACAAACACCTCGTATAGAAATACATGTGGTTCATGTACATATTTCAATGTACATAACTGTATACCTTTGCTCACTTGCACACACACACCTATAACACACGTGCTTACACAGACAGACACAATGTTTTCACCTGGTTGTAAGTGTGGAGTGTAGCAGCAGGTGTGTGCAAGGTAACCAGCAGTTTGTGTGAACATCCACGTGTGTTAAATGCACATTTTTGTCTGTGTAACCTCCGTGTGGCACACAGGGCTGAGTGCCTGTGTTAAAATACGCCATGTGACGTGTATGTGCCTATGGAGCCACCATCCATCATATCCCAACACAAACAGACACCACCTCTTAGATGAAAGAAAATCCTGAACTGCCACTTTCACGAGTTCCATCCTCACACAAAGGTGAAAAAAGAAATAAAAGAGTAATTCCAAGACACTATTCTACAACCACGACCAAAAGAAGTCACGTGAAATGCAGCAGTGGGGTGGGTTCTCCTGCCCTTAGCTTTACTTTTTTCTCCTTTCTTGTGCACATCCACAGCACAACCACCACAAGCTCTAACCCATAGCGGCTCCACACCAGATCCTGCTGCAGAGGGGACCAGCCACCGCCAGCCCGTCTGACCGGCGTCTTCCCGAGTTTGTGCAATGCATCAGGAAACCTGGATGCCAAAACCAAACCGAAAGTAAAAAATCCCCTTCCCAAAGTGCCTGGGCAAACTCTCAAGGAGAGCTCCAGCAGCACCTTACCGGCTGAGTCAGTGGATGAGCCATCTCCTTGTGCTGGGTGCCCCATCTGCCGAGTTTAGCCGCAGCTGAGATCTTCTGCTGGTAGACCCAGAGAGGGGAGGGGGGGGGGGTGAAGAATAAACCTCCCTGCAAGGATCCCAGAGCCGGAGAGAGGAAATCATACAGGATACAGTGGGGGGTAGAAAATTCCAGCCTCGGTGACAAGGCACCAGTGCCACCACCCCCCAGCCCTCGCCGCAGCCGTCGCCTCTGCCAGAGCTGCGGCGCGATGTGGCTCGGCGGGAACCTCGCATCCCTCCGCATTGTCTCTCTCCAGTGTGAGCTCCGGCAATCTCATTTCATGGGAGACATCTGGTTTGATTCAAAAGGAAGAAAGGGGAGAGGGGAGAACCGCGCGCTCACACATACACCGCCCAGCCCGACTGGCTGGGAGCTGGGGAGCGATTGTCACTGCTTCCCTCCGCGCTGAACCCTCCTCATTTCAATGAGAAAGGCCAGCCCAGGGAGCAGGGCTGTCCCACGGCCCTCCCAGCATTCCCAGTCTGCAGAGGGGGCTTCGCTGGGGCACGGAGCCAAGGGCGGGGAGCTGAGCCCCAGCAGCCCCGCCAAGCGTCGCTGCGCCTGGAGCCATCACAAGGCCTTGGGGGGATGGGGGTTCTCCCTTCTCCTTGTTTTCCGTGATTCCCAGTCCTGGTGGACACGCAGTATCGGCCCTCAAATGCTTGTGGTTTTGGCTGGGGGTCTTTCCCCCCTTCAAGAGCGTCCACCCCTTCAGGACCTGCCCCATCACGGCCAGATCCCTCACCCCACCCTTCACCCCACCAACCCTGCCGTCACTGCCAGCCTGTGCCCAAGCGGTACCACCCCGAGGTGTCCCTGCTGAGCCACCACACCTCCCAAGCGTCCCTGCTATCCCAATGGGTCTCTGGATGGATCCCAACCCCGGGCACCTTCGCAGCACGGTCCTAAATGGGCAGTGGCAGGTCCCCACACAAAACCTCCTTGATAGGGTGCAGGTCTCCACACAGCCCCCTCCTTCACCCATTACCCCTCCATGCTGGGGGGCACATGGTGGGTCCTCACACAGATCCCTTCCTCCTGTGACCCCTCCGTGCCGAGGGTGTGCACAGTGAGTATCCACACAGTCATTCACAGTGGGTCCCCATGCAGCCCCTCCACCCATATCTCAGCGGGTCCCCACGCAGCCCCCTCCACCCATTTGCTGCATGGTGGGCCCCCAAGGAGCCCCCTACACCCGTGTTGCAATGGGTCCCCACGCATTTGGCCAGCAAGTCCCCACACAGCCCCC